ACCTCGTGTCTGCTTATTGATGAAAAACATTGAATTATCAATTAATGCCGAGGTTAACAGAAAGTCGGTCATGGGAAGTACTATGAACGACTAATTCAAGCCAAGCAATGTAAAAAAGGGAACATGAAAGATAATACTGCCAGATCTCTTTGTACGTGAGCACTTTCCGAAATCACTTTCTAAACTTTGGAAAAGTGTCCAAAGGGATATATTTGTAACACAAAAGGGGAAGGATACTGGTCAGAACACAGTACGTTGACAGTCGTTGTAAGAAGCGCACTTGTGAGTCAACTCTTTACTCACTGCACATGTTCGCGCTGGCCAAAATCAAACAGTAGAGTGTTCGAAAAACGATCCGTAGTGTTTGCTGAGTTCAAGTGGCCGTTTATTCAATAAGTGGAAGTTTAAAATAAAAGAATTCAATATGGAAAAGGACCTAGTCTCAGATACAACACACATGAGTTAAGTAAAGAACAGCAGTTGAGCTAACGTACACATGAGTTTGTAGTATAATTCACTACTTGGTTGAAAGCAAGGAAGAGTGATTAGTGTAATTTTCAATTTAGCTACAACCTTGCTTCTTTGTTTCTTTATAGTTTCAAAACATAATGGACTTTGCTGGAGCTAAAAAAGTCCCTTGTCCACACTGCACCACCTATGAAAATGAAGCCAACATCAAAAACGATATATAGCGCTGGAGAAAAAACCTATTATATTTATACCACTGAGGCACGGAAACACGTAGCGCAGATTCTCAAGGTTTCGTGCAACACACACGTGGTGGTTCACTGGTTCGAACTCTCACCCTGAGCCAACTAAGACCTTCAATCTTTCAGTATCGGTGAATTAGTACTACACTTGTCTGGGAGGACAAAAAACACTGACTCGACAATTCGCTGCTGTTTTGTTAAGGCTGTCATTTCATTTCTTATTCACAAAAATGCTGCGTTTTCTTCGAGGCCTGGAAGAAAATCACGAAACATAGATTTGAATCGCATTTCAATCGAATTCTGGCGGAACTACAGAGGTGTTTAAAGATTGCAGTCAGTTTGACCTCTCCAGGATCTGAAGAAGACGAAATCTGTCGAAACGTCAGCTTTTCTGGATAAAGAATAAGAAACTTCGTGCGTGCTTATCAATAAAACAGAGAAGTATTGATCAACGCCGAGGTTAAGCGCCTGGGAGTTACTGACTTGATACATCGGTAAGCCACTGTAAGCTATTGTTTAGGCCAGATATGCATTTGATCACCTGGACGATGCAAAATAAAGTCGGCATAGTCCACGTCAACGTTGAAAGCTCTATCGTTTTGAAGAAATCAGTTAAAAGAAGGAGCAAATAATTATCAAAGAAGCACCTTTGCCAAAATTCTTATGGTTCTCACTTCTTCAATAATTTGAAAACCTTACAGTAAGCAATTTCTGAATTTAATGAAAAATGCAGCGCTAACCATGTCACTTGCTGTTAAGAACAAGACATAAGAATTATGGCCGATTGCTTTGACATGAGGGGTGTAAGTGTGCCAGAAGCACAAGGTTAAATGGATTGGAGCGTTTGCACTTGACTCTTTAGTAATAGTACTGAAGCGAGAATTATATAGCTCGAATAAAGAAATTTCGTACCTGTTTCATTAGAAATGATGTTGATAGTTGGACAGAATCTGTCAAAGCGAGTGGCGCATTAGGTAGCGACGGCGCTGGGTCCTTCTTAGCAGTATTAACATCCATTTCATCTTCATAACTATCGTCCTCAGACATAGACGTAGTTAGTGTTTGCTGTTGGTACATTCCAGTGATTCCTGCACCAATGTGTGAAAGCCGAGAAGATTGGGCTGGTGGCTTCATCGGATGATAGATCACATCGTCTCGAGCAGGATGAATGAGCTCCGTGGTAGTTGGGTGGAATCTTAGACTCTCTTCTCGTATTAAATTTAGTGGTTTATTAGGAGTCGTAGATAATGTAGACGTCGATTCATGTGGTGGACTTGACAATGAAGACGACGAATTTCTCGGTAAAGGAACAGGTTGCGCATGAAACATACCGTGGTAGTTGTCGTATGTCAAAACATTAGTTGTTCCCTCAGGAGATGTTGTCTTGGTAGATTTAGAACGGTTCTGCACGACAACTGGCCTTCGATGATCGAAACGTTCAATTGCTGACTGCACAGAAGTGTTTCGCGAAATCGTATCGGTAAATCGGTCATCTTCCATCATCCTAAACATAAAGCACACTAATCGAATAGAAAATGGAGAAAATCGACGAAGTGGAATGGCGAGATACCAACATATATTATATATATATATATATATATATATATAATGCTTGGAAGAAAACCAGAAACATTAAGATCAAAGAACATACCCTATGCTGTGGTGAGTTTCAAAACAAAAAAAAACATAGAGCGGCACACTAATACGAAAAGTACAGACAGATGTATAATGCACTTTCTACAGCTTGTGATGCCAACAGAGCAAACCCTCACGGCGGTGTTGCACCTGCTACATAGGTGTTGCACCTGCTACATAGGTGTTGCTTATTGTACTAAAGGAAGCGTAGTAGGTGAAATTTTGAACAAATTAGGCTATTTATGTGCAATATTTTAGCGCCAGATAAGAAAGCCGCAAGGGTATATAGTGATAATTTCTAACACCAGGTTAAGGATGACGAGATACAAATATATTATATATGCATTATTAGATAAAGTACCTGGAAGAATTTACAAGGCATAATGCCATGCTTTCTTGGTTAATAACTGGAAAGGAACAGTGGAATGTACCACTGTTTTGACAATGATTTTAACCATGAAAGGAGCTAAGCTGTTTAAGTATTACCCAACATAAAAGGGGAAAAAAGCCTAGCAACTATGTAAAAGTAAATAGAGGAAGCAAAAGGTAGACGTGTTTAACACATTCACAACGGTTCGCATTGATTTCAATGCGCACATCCTGACAATAATTGCTCGCTTCAACAAAAAAATGCACCTTTTAGTGAATTTTCTCCATTGAAATAAAAATAATAGCAATATACAGGTCTTCGCCAACCATAGTTAACTCTTCTTATTCCAGCAATACGGAATTTTGAATTTCTGGACCCAGTGAAGGATTATTTTTTCTTTTTCTGTTAAAGATTCGCATTTCGAAGAGCAAAACATCTGATAAGGCAGGAATGGTGAAAGTCATTCAACATAGAACAACTCCAGGGTTAAGTTCTGATGGAATTTAATGAAAACTGAATTCACATAATGATGCAAGAGAACAACTAAGAAAAGATCTGTTCGAACAGTGATTGAACTTGCAAGTCGGCTTTACGTAGAAGGTAACAGTGATTACTTTCGTAGCAACAAAAAGCACATGGCACATAAAGTTAAATCCTTTACTTCCAGGCTAAAGAATTGCAGAAAAAAAAACCTGCTTTCACTTCGTTGGGAGAACTCACTGGAGATTATCCATGCATAACACGCCTTTTCCCTGTCTAAGCGTGTTTACGCAGACGGCATTGATAACCCTTTATGAATCATTTTCTTAATGGATTATCAAGCGGTTAGCGATGGACAGAATATCAGCCATCTAGAAATTCATTTTTCACTGCAAAATCTTAATGAAACGATCGGTGAGCTTGGTAGTGATGTCGGTCACCACGAGCACGGTGGTAGTTCCACTCCGCTCCAGGCCAATGAAACCTAGACGGGAAATTGGCACCGGACTTGTCTGGGAAAACATCACTCTCTACAATCCAATTGGGAACGCTCCAGCCCAGCTATCTCAGGACTCCAGGAAGAATCGACTCGGCAGCATTCTACGACATTCAAGATGAAATGAGAGTCCTTAAGCACCTGCCAAAGCCATACGAAAAAAAACTTGGAAGATCTTCGTGGACAATGGATACGAGGAAACGAATGGTATGTGAGAGGTACTGGGACCCGCACAGTAGACGTTAAAACAGGCTATATAAAATATAAAAAAAATAAGGAGTAACTTGGTCGATAGATTTGCTCTAAAACCCATGAACGATTTGATCGTGGTTTAGAAATTAAAAGATTCAGACGCGCAAGATTAGTGCGCTAACCAGTTGCCTTGACACTAGTGACAACACGGCGGCAATCGTACACCTTCTTCCAATTATTCAGGCTTGCAAACTTTTCCTACTTTTTGAAGCACACTAGAAAAAAATGAGTAAACATTCTAGCCCCTACTCGAGACAGAAAGGTTTTAGTCCATACAGCGAGAAATATGGGATGGGATCGTTAGTGGTATCACTGAAGTTGTGCGTTTGGAAAAACAGTCAAGGGCAAACAGAGGGTGTGCTGAAGCTTATACTGTGAAGAGCTCCTTCCTTCATTCTAATAGCCATTATGCTCTTCATTTGAAGCGATGTCATTTTTGGATGAGATCCTTAAGTTGAGACCGGTCTTATCTTATCCTCGTAACAGCTGTGTTATGTTTAACAAACTGGTTGAGAGAAAGGCACCCTCGGTGGTGCAGTGGGTAACACGTGAGCCCTGTAAAAGGTAATTGCGGGTATGAATCTGGCCTTAGGTCCAAGTTTTCCAATTGTCACAGCATCATTGTGGTTGTATTTCACATAAAACCCTGCCGTGAAAAAATAATGGCTAGTAGATAAAAGTTCTATATTGTATTGCGTTTGTTAGAAATCTATGACAGCCATTTATGCTTTTCTTGCACGCGCTTTTTTAAAGACTTGGTTCGTAGTTTTTTCGTGGTTATGGAGATTAGACGCTGTAACTTTTCATAAAAACATATAAGCCTTCGAACAAAACACAGTGATGTTAAGCAAAAAGTAAAGGATCAAAACCATAATGAAGAATGGTTTTATTACAACATAACTGCCCAATACCTATTTTTTTAAAATCAAGAAGAGGCGGCAGCACTACCACCATCTCCTTTCCCTAAAACGTTTTTTAGACAGCAGGACCCTAACGATGGAGTTGACATAAAATTCCGCGTTTTCGGACGGCGTTCTCAAGACCCTTAATCACTACCGCGATAGCAAGCTTATCTCTAACCTTACAGCCACACAAAAATGTGGCATGCCAGAAATTAGAGAATGAATAAACTCGAAAACAATAAGATTGTCTGTTAGTGATAAAGGGAAAGAGTTCGTGGTTAATCCTCGCCAGCTGGATGATGAGATAACGGAGGAACATCTTAGTGATGCTACCCTCTATCGCCCATTCTCTGGAAAGGAATATAAAAGTCAATACCGAAAGCTAAACAATCAATGGGTCAGTGTTGCAAGGGCTGCGGGTTTAAAATCATCGGTTATTTCGCACTTTAAAATCGAGAAACCAACATGCCCGTTCTATACCTACTTATTAAAACACATAAGTTGGTATCAGCTGATAATCATGCGTCAACCAATCCATCATCGTTTAACGTTGGACCCATCATCAGTTGTATAGACGGGCCAACGGATAGAATAACCTGGTTTTTAAGCCTAGTACTTACCCACTGGCTTAACCACATTCTAGCTCACCTCACAAACGCCCAAATGTTCCTAGAACGTCTATGTAACGCGTCTTCTAACAACGCGTACGTGATGGGGTCATTCGACGTTTTCGCGCTTTACTCCAACGTATCGAATGACTCCGCAATGCAAGCCATCTTCGAACTTTTTGTTGAACATGAAGGAAGAATAAATATGCATGGCTTGTCTATCCAGCAGCTAATAGCTTCCTTAAAAGAGTGGCTACACTGCTCGATTTTCAGGTGGTCTGGGAAATATTTCACGCAAATAAGGGGGTTCGCAATGGGACAGCGACTGACACCAACCCTTGCCATTGTGTTTATGTCCAAGATAAAAGCCCTGTTCTCGATCTCCGGCTACTACTCTACTGCAGATATGTAGATGATTGTTTTGTCGTCTTCTCTACGCAGGAGGAGATGGACAAATGCTTTGAATTATTGAACGAGCAGTCCGAGTACATATACATAAAGCTCACCCGGGAGAAATCGAGAAAAAACTGGCTTCCGTTTTTAAACGTTCAAATAAACCTATCAAATAGCGGTTACTCGAAAAAATGGTACCGAAAGCCAAGTAATAAGAACATCCTCGTTCATTTCCTTTCTTCCCACCCTTCACACACAAAGAGGGCTATTGTGAGAAACATGTTTCGAACAGCCACCTCTGTGTGCACTACCAGGGAACTAAAGGAAGAGTCGCCCGACTTGGCTCGGCAAATAGCCATCTCCAGTGGCTACGAAATAGTAACCCCACGAGATAAGTTTACAAGGAGAACGACGCGCCCACGCGGAACACTTGGCCAAAACAAAATCCCGTATATGTTGCCTTTTATAAGCGATGAAGTAAGCGGAGCTATAAAACGATGCTTAAGAAAGGCAAGTCTAGAGGAATCGGTAGCGATAGTTGAAATACCACCGGCTACTCTACGTCATCAATTAGTTCGTAACCGCCTGTATGACCGCCTATGTGAAACAACAAATTGCGAAATTTGCCCTTACGGCAGAGACGGTGATTGCATGAGTTCAGGCACGATATACCTGATCTCTTGTAATAATTGCGGATATGAATATATTGGCGAAACGGCAGACCTTTGTGTATCCGTATAAAAGAACACCTAAATGGCAAACGAAAACTAAGACGAAGCACCCCACTAGGCACGCATAGGATACAAAAGCATAGCGGAGACGATTTTGGTGTAAAAGTTACTATCTTTGCACAGGAGACTAAAACACCAGCGCGAAAACTTTTTGAGGCATTTTTGGATAAATGCCAAAAACCCTACAATGAATAGCAGGGATGAATCCCCAGAGGTCATACGCGATCTGACCCCGTATGTTCGCATCGATTTTTGATGTGGGATGGTGTTGTCAACCATATGCGACTATAATCAGCTGTTCCAAACTTCCTCATTGGAAGTCACGAAAAAAGCGGTGAGTTTTTCGAGAAGCTGCTGATCATGTAATTACCATGGAGCTTTTCGTCTTTTTATAAGTGCTATTGAAGCGTTTGGCCTAGTAGATTGTATATCAGTATACCCTTCCAGGCTCTGAAGAAAGCGATACTGCCGAAACGAAATACTGTTTAAAAACCTCGCGATTACTGAACAAGAAAACGGCGCATTCATTTTCCAATGTCGAGGTTAATAGAAAGTCGATCCTGGGACCTATTTTTTTAGTTGAAAATTTAGAAGAGAAACTCAGCATCCAACACATCTTGCCAGACGATAGTCAGA